TTCAAATATACATTAAGTACACTACTTTAAGTGTAATTATTGAAAAAGCAGTAGTTAAGTACAGATCAAGTAGCTTAAAAATACTCTACTTAACTTGAGGTTAAACAACTGAGTTCCTATTTTTGTCTATAAGTACATTTTAATCCCTGTATAGATACATATCAAATAAAAGGTGGATTTAACAAAGTTGTTAAAATACAAGTTAGATACCTGTTCAGATACACATTAAGTCAAATAAATACACATTAAGTATTGTTCAAGTATACGTTAAGTAACAAAATTTTCCCAAGGGCACTGTTTCTATATATATTCTTACTGTTACTATGTTTACTAAGGTTTTCCATGATTGATAGTTTTGTACGACAACAACAACAAGAACAAAATTGATGGCTCTACAGCAGATTAGTCACACTGCAAAGTGGTCTAAAATAATTATAAAGGTATGGAGCACTTGTCGTGAAAAAATATAATTTCAAACAGATGCCAAAAAAGATATTCCAGCTAATATTGAACTGATACATCTTCATTCAGTTTTAATGACTCAAAATGAGTAAAATAAAGCAGTTTTAAGAGGAATAGTTGAGTGATCTGAAATGGAAAAATATTGAGCTAAGTCTTCTAAAAAGGGTCTCTTGACATGCAGTACTTAACATGATATTTCTTCTTCTAAAAAGAGCTTACCGATACCATGGAAACCCTAATTAAAAATGGAAAAGCCAACAGATTTATAGCAAATGAATTCAAAAAATTAAATTTTCTGTTTTCTGAATTAATTCAGGAAGAAAAAAATCTGCCAGTCATGCAATAGTGTGCCTTTTCCATCTGTAAATATGATTCATAATTTGGGATAATGTTGTAATCTGGTATAAAACCTTTTTGAAATGAAGCGAGTTCATTATGATAATCATACTTTTTCCTATGAAATTAAATAACATCTTATTTTTAACTACTGTACATATAATATTAAAAGCAATAAAAGAAATTTATGTTGCTTTGGAAACTAATTATTAACATAATTCATAACACAAAATGCAAACCTGAACTCTTTTATTTCACTCATTAGCAGTAAAAATGTTCACCTGAGATGATTTTATAGGAGTATAAATGAACCCATATTTTCTTGTATGACAGCAGCTATGACCAGAATGGTAATAACCTGTAAAGCACTGCAGTTTATTATTATTAGTGCATGTTGGTAAGAAATTCCATGAATGGGAAAGGGATTTTGACACACGAATGCCTGATTCCATCTACCTGGTTATAGCATCTTCATCATTGGTCTTTTTTTCTTGTTTCTTTGTTTCTGCAGTCACTTCAATAGGTAACGCCACATTAGTACAAAACCCTTTTGTATCAACCAGTGATGCAATCACTGTCTGGTCAGGTGACATCTGCTTTCTCAGGCTTGTGTTTGCTTGTTCTTTCTTTTCCAGGCTTGTTTTTGCTTGGTTTTTATATATTGACATCCATTAGTAACCCAAGACATCCATTGATTTTACAATACGGCTGCACCACAACCAGCACGGCATACATTCATGTCCCTCACATACGTCCATGAGTTAGATTCTGGGTCATAAGCTTCTGCACTTGCAAGTCTGTTGGCTCCATCAAAACCACCCATTACAAAAATTTTCCCATCAAATACAGTTGCTGCTGGCCATGCCCTCGGGGTCAGTAAAGGTGCCACTTGTACCCATTTGTTAGTCTGAGGGTTATATTTTTCGGCAAGATCAAAGTAGTGGTCAGTACTGCGGTTTCGGCCACCAAATGCATACAGATGATGATTATGAGACAAGAGCACAAGTCCTGAACGAGCTTTTTCAAGTTCAGTGACAAATGACCAAGTATCTGTTTCTGGGTCATAACATTCTACACTTGCTCTGTCGCTATGGACACCTCTATCGTATCCCCCAGCAACATAGATTTTGCCTATAAATAGCACAACCACCACAACATTACTACAAAAAATATTCTTCTTTCTAAATTCATATTTTTCTTATAAATAAGTCACTCTGTCTCCATTAAAATGGGAGAGCCTCTGTGATTCATTCGATATACATGTAGCTAGCCAGGAATTATTTCTGGATTTGAAATATGACTTTTATTTTTTTAATCAAAAGGCACTAAAGCTTAAAATGTTTAGAACTGTAAAAAAAAAAAAAAAAAAAAAAGGATGATAAATCCCCAGACTTTATGATATAATTAATGGCTTTCCAATCAATCAAAGCTACTGTGGAACAGTAAATTTGCGATTGACAGAAGCTTATACACATTAAAGCAACACAAGATGTTTGAATGGTGACATTTCATTGTTGATGCAATTGTTATTATATATATTATTTTTGTATTTGGTTATGTGAGATTTTTGTTTTGTATAAAGTGAGAGTACATTCTTTAGGTGCATGAACATCTCCCACAGCAACCACATTGATGTCAGATCACTATTTATAATACTATATTTGAAAAATACCACCAGTGTTGCCTGTTCAGGTACAGATTCATTTTCAGGGTTAGACTCACTTTAATGTCAAAATATTCACCCATGGAAAAGTAAAGAATGTATGATTATGTCATCAATACAAACACTTTGAAATTCAATGGACCTTCACTGGAACACATGAATATTTGACCCAGCATAAATGAATCTGTAATCAAGGAACACAATGTTATTTTTCAAGTTTGAATAAACTTAAGGTGTGTTAAATTATTTACCAGTTATTACATACCATCACAAATTGCAATTCCAGCACCTGATCTCTTTCTGCGCATCGACTGCATCGTCGTCCAGTGGTTGGTCTTGGGATCATAACGCTCAACATAATTATAGCTACAAGTTCTGTCTTCCCCACCAATGGCGTAAATACAGCCATTAAATGCTGCGACGGATATGAAAGACCTCTGAATAGCAATATCTGCTAACGAGATCCACTCATGTGCAATAGGGTCATAACATTCAGTATACCGCACGTACATAGTATCATCATGAGGAGAGTTCACTGCGCATTCACCTCCAATGACATAAAGTAGGCCATTCAGACTACATGCCCCTACTGCTGTTCTGGCATGCTTCATACTTTCCATCATAACCCATTCATCTGCTAACAAATCATATCGTTCAAGAGTTGACAGCTGACAATCAATACCATTCCGTCCACCAACTGCATAAATAGACTGAGGCTGAGCACGTGAGGTCGTCATGTAAGGTGGCAAATTACGAGCACTTTCATTCAAGATTTGTCCCAAAAGTAGCTGACATTCTGCATTGGTTTTGACGATTTTCGAAGGAAACACTCGCGTTTCAAGAAACCCCAAAGAAATTAACGGTATTCTCACTCTCGTAATCAATTCAGCCGTGAATTCCTTACGTTGATTGAAATCGTGAAATATCCAAGCTTCAACCGCTTCGAAAATTTGGTCTTCACTGCGAACTTGAACGTCGTCTTGTTCAAGAAGATTCAGAAGCCCTTGTTTAGAAAGCTGTAAAAACTCCTCACACTTTACAACGTCCAGAAAATGCTGGCAGATGTATCGATAGGCAGCTTGTTCGAGGTCTGTACACGAATACAAATCGGCAAATGCCCTGATTCCTAAACAGTTAGTCGCTTCGAGGTGTGATTGTAAAAAACTACAGCAAGCTTGTCCCAGTAGTGGCAAGTTGAGCAGCGTCGCTCCTGAAAGCAAAGCCTGTACATTTTCAACTGTGATATCCACCGATCCCGTATAAACAAAGTCCAATAAATTCTCCATGACCGAGGGCTCTAACCCTTGCAGTTTAATATCCCTCATTCCGCTCTCAAGCATTCCATTTGTAAACATTGCTCTCAGATAAGAACTCGCCCCGGCCAACACTACACGGTGAGCATGAAATTCCTGCCCGCCAACGTGAAGCGAAACATCGCAAAGTTCTCTCTTCCGACGAAGCTCGTTCATGATTTGAAGCGATTCGTTTGAATGGAGAGGGATCTGAAATCGTCGCTGAGCAGACATGGTTCGCCATCTAACACGCTTCCTCTTGTTTGGAGATGATTCTTTTTGAGTAACACACGCAAACCATATGGAAAACGAAAACAAGGAACTCAATGAGAATCACTGTTTTTGTTGTGGCTACTTGGCTCTACAAACTAACAAGCTCGCTGATTGGTCAAATTTATGCATAATTAGCCAGACACATTATACTTACGCTAATTATGATTGGTTAATTCGCTGCATAATTGATTTGTTATGCCGCTGACCCCTACGTCACGTTGTTGTTTAGTAAAAAATAAACAATTAAGATTCACTCTGACTTACCTTTTAACCGCTGCATTTCCCCTTTCGAGTTAGTTTTTCTTCGAGAAATTACCCCAAAAAGGTTAATATATGAATTAAAAATTGTTCTGTAACACTACGAAAGTAAGTGGGCCTTGAGAGATTTTGTAGCGAATTTAAAAGGCTCAAAATATTCGTGGAAACTTTGACCACGCCTCTTGATAAGTTCATCATTCCTATTTTAAAGGATGTTTTCTTGTCTGTTTGACAGGAGAAAGTTATGTTTTTGTTTCTTGAGAGAGAAAAAACAGGACGAAAAGAATTTCATGGTGTTCTCACTTAACCACATACTTAAATGGATTAAAGAAAATAATATATCAAACATTGAAAACTGTCAAATATGTCCTTAAGACCCACAAAACTTTGTTCAATCATCAGGTGACCTGAAAAGCGAAGCATTTAGTTGACATAAGAACAGGTGGCACAATCAGCAGGTCATAATCATGCAATGATACGCCTAGCTACCACGATAAAACATTCAGTCTATGGAGTTACTAAGGGGAAGTGGAAGCTGAAGCGGAACATGGCTAACTGAGAAAACAAATATTTAATATTTTAAACACAAACAGATCAATACTGACTAAAAGTATATATCAGGTCAAAAAAGACATTCGTTCACCGACGAAAATGAGCATTCAGGATAGGCTGCAAGATATTTTCAAAGGATTATTCAAATTTGAACTTCTTTGCAGCCTCGGTTGAATTTTTGTGTTTGACCATGAAATGGAAAGTGGTGATTAAAAGCCGAGAGCTGAAGGTTTTAAAATGGCGGGGAAAATGGAAGAATTGTAGATGAATATTGCAGTTTTGACAATTGTTTTTGTAAATATATATACGCGCCATTTTCAAAAAATTGTGAAAATAAACTGACTTATAACTAGCGCTTTATTCTCAGTTCTTCGAATTATTCAGTACCTGTTCTTGTATAACCTTATTATTCGGTTAAGGTGCCGCTTTAAAAGAGAACGGATCTTAATAGGACCCATGCCAGATGTCTCAAAAAGGTAATTTCATTGATTTATAATAAACACTTATACATTAAGTATGATCAAGAGAATATGAACTATGGTATGATCGTTTTATTCCTCAAATCGCCGTTTTACTAGTTGATATAGATGGGTTTTTTTTATGTCTTTTATCTCAGGGGCGGATCCAGAAATTTGTTCAGGGGAGGGTGTTGCTTACAAAGTTAACCCAGGGAGGGGTGCACCCCTTAGAGTCAAAGGGGAAAAACATTATTTTGTATTGGTTATCTTCAAAGTAGGGGCACAAAGTCGAAGGGAGGGGCGTGCACCCCTTGCACCCCTCCTCTGGATCCGCCACTGTTAGACTATGTATTTAATACTGATATTTTCATTTATCATTACTGTTTCATTAGAAACAACGACGCAGCTCACACTAGTTTTTAGCTAGTTATCTCTTCTTGATATTTTCTTCGCTTGGATTCCAAAAGATTTCGTAAAAAATAAAAAATAAAAAAGATTTTTTTAAAAAGAGTTTTTTTAGAACCTCGGTATAATGATTTAAGAATAAACAACGATTATTATACATTCAGGTAAATTTAGTATTAAAAAAAGATAGGGAAATATACTATTATTGCGAACTGGTTGATCGTATTTTTTAGGTATTTAAAATGACGAATACTTTGATCTTGACTTCACCTACTCTGATCTGACTATAGACCCCTTGCATGTGACGTCAAAGCAGCTCAATCTGGGGGACAAAACAATAGGTTCCAATTCTCAAGATAATGGTATTCTATTGTTTTGTACCTCAGATCGAGCTGCTTTGACGTCACATGCAAGGGGTCTATACTATCATAAGTTTATACTCATTGATACTTTCAAAATCTTGTATGAGGTAAGCCGGAAAAGATAGAGATCAAATGGAAGCGAGCTGTGGGAAAAAAAAAAAAAAAATCAGATTAAAACTCATAATTATACAGCTTCTCATTAATCCCATTTAGGTAACTATCCAATTATTTTCTTAATTGGACAGGTCTTGTCGATATGGGATTAATTAGGCAGCTATATAATTAATAGGTAATGGGATTTCATGCTCCCCAATCAAGAAATAATTAGACTCGAAAAATTCCTCTGACTGCCAAACTGGACTCAGCATATGGCCTCATCCAATTTTGGAAGTCCTCGGAATTTTCCTCGTCCAATTATTTCTTAATTAGATAGCATGGAGTCTTATTACATATGCTAATTAAAAACATTGAAAGCAAATAGTCCCTAACCCTAATGAGGGTTGCATACCTAAACTACCACGGCAAATCTTTTTCAAGATCTCTTTTCATTATTAGAAAAATAATGGTCGTTGGAGAATACCAATACTGCAGTGAGAAATAGCATTAAAAAAAGCTACCACGAAAGGGATTATGAAAGTGTAGGTAAATAAACGTCATCGTGGCTGCCGCGTGAGTAACTGAGGGTACTGGAGTGCCTGTGATCCTTCTTAGTTTTAGCTAATAATTCATAGCGTAACTGTGGGTTTTGGGAGAGAGTTTCCATGTAATATATTATTTTAGAAAAAAAAGTCAAATGTGTGAGGATCTCTATAAGAAAAGCCCTAGGTGACTATATAGTTTTTATGAATACAAACTGATGGAGTTCCTATATGGTTTTGATTGAAACTACTTCGTGCAAGAAAACATGCACTAGCCTTCACTCTTGAAACCAGAGGTTTTTACGTACTGCGCATGATCAACGAAATGCCAGACATTTTGTCGAACATATGCAGTAGGGATGACCAGGCTCTCAGGGGACGAAAGCATTCGCTCTCGTTGTACATGCTTCACAAGTTGCACGATTTGTTTTTGCGCGCATTCCTTTACCTTGTTTTTCAGCTGGTCTCCACAAGCCATCCTGATGCGCTCACACGTGGCTGGACTGTCAAAGCGATAGATCTCGTCTAGTCCGATATCACACCTACGACATTGACATTGGTTATATAATTACATTGCTATTGGTCTAGATTTGACTGTGGAAGGGCTGGAAGGCTTCTGTATATATAAACTCTAATACAAAGTCTACTATATTTTCAAATTTGAGCCTCATTTTTAAGAGTAAATCCCTTGAATCACAGGAGTTAAATTAAAAACAACTATGCTCTAATTTGCCGATGTATTGGAATCGAACCAAAGACCACAGCGCATGCGCATTAGCAGCGGACGCCACTCATGCCTTCCAGGCCATAAACTTGTGTTCATAAGCTTGATGGAGCAGAAGATCAATCGTGTGATCAGTGTGGACCTATTGCCACAGCGGATCTTACTGGAGTCATACGATTTGAAGCTTACCTGGCCGCGTTAACTGCATTCTTGATGGCGAGAAAAACAACAGGTGCCAATAAAACACTGAATTCACCTGAACCCTAAGATAATGTAAGAAAGGATAACATTAGTTGGTATTATTTATTAATCAGACATGCATATCTTCCTTGACTATGTACCTGAGAAGAAAATATCGAAACACCCATTCAGCTAACACAACACAACACAACACAGCACAGCACATCAGACAACACCTCACCACATCACACCATGCCACATCACACATCAAACCGCACAGCACAGCACAGCACCACGCCGCACCGCACCGCACCACATCGCACCACGACACACCACATCACACCACACCACACCACACCACACCACACCACGCCACATCACACATCAAACCGCACAGCACAGCACATCACACCACACCACACCACACCACGCCACATCACACATCAAACCGCACAGCACAGCACATCACACCACACCACACCACGCCACGCCACATCACACATCAAACCGCACACCACACCACACCACATCACACCACACCACACCACACCACGCCACATCACACATCAAACCGCACAGCACAGCACAGCACAGCACCGCACCGCACCGCACCGCACCGCACAGCACAGCACAGCACAGCACAGCACAGCACAGCACAGCACAGCACAGCACAGCACAGCA